ACTTGTCTATACACTATAGTCATACATTCGTACATAATAATTTATAATAATAAAGAAATCGAAAAATAATATAATCAACAATTTATTGTTGATATTTTTATTTAAACAAATTTAGATTTTAGAATTTTACGTTTATTTTTGAATTTTATACTTTCATTAAGATAAACAATATTTTGTATCTAAGATACAGATACAGAATTACAAGATACAAAAAAAGGATCTAGATACATGTATATAGTTACATTATGCAACTGGCGCCTGAACCTACTGACATTATTATTATTATTATTATTATTATTATTTGCATACACAGAAAACTCTTAGCTGTAGTGAAATTTCTGTTTTCTTACGAATACCTCTAATCAGCATCAATTGAAATATTTTTAAAAGTAAAGGCACTGACGGAAAGTTTTGAATATTATTATACCGTTTAAAAGCTTTAACGAGGTGCGTTCCGGATACTTTGTCCTACTCATCTTTGTGTATAGCGAAATAACTTTTTACTTTTCTCGAGTTTCCATTGTACACCGAAGTTTTATTAAAATTCAATAATCCTCGAAGTTCACTCGCTACCTAACCCGGTTTAAGTAAAATAACTGCAACTATATAAAATTATATAGGTGACGGAGGTATTAGAAAATACGAGTATAATATTATTTTCTTCGTTTTAATACACTGCTATTTAATATTATATTTTCGGAAACTTATATAGAACTTTTTAAGTAGGTACCAAAAAAAAAAAAAAAACTAAGTTAATACGTGAATATATTTTAAACTGTATTCTATAACGGTGGAATGAAGACAGCCTCGTTAAAACAGGACTGCAATATCCGCTTTGTTACAGGTTTTCTTTGTGCGAGAATGACAAAATAAGTTAAAGCCGTTGTTCTTTTAAACTACTTTTTCGCATCCAATTTAATACGACGGGTAGGTCGTTATATTATGTGTATCGAAAACTTTAAAGGAACTTATATAAAAGTCACTAAATACGTTTGGTCTGAATTGTATTATTGAAACACTCGATAAATATTCAGTTTAGTTGTCACGTCTCAACTTACCGGGCGCCGGCTGAGCTTAGTTATGACAACATCCTTTTAAAAAAAATTGCTTTTTTCTATTATCAATTCACTCCTTTTACAAATTATATATCAGATATAATAATAGTCAGACCCCTTCAACCTCCCCCCCCGCTCCCTAAAATAATTCAAAGTGCGTTATTATTAGTTGGAAACAGTTTAACTCTGCAAATGTTAAATATATTTGAATTCTGTTTTTTTGGGTGCCTAACAAACTTTTTATACACTTTTCAAATTAATTAAACTACTTTTATGTCATTTAATTTTGCGAATGTACATAACAATTTTTTTTTTTTAAAATGGTACCTTTTTTTCAGGTAATTATTGTAGTGACTTTAATTTTTCCAACTATTTTAATGGTTAAACCAACTTCCTAATTTGAAAAATTCAAGTTATTGATACTTAAGAGTTTGATTTTAATTTTTAACACTTTTGAATTATTCATTAGTTTAATGACATAAATTATTCCTTTTTTCATCTCATGATGTCCTTTAGTGATATTTTCAGAACCTACTTTGGGGAAAGGATAATCCTCTTCCCCTATCAAAACTTACTTCTTTTCTATAATTTAGTCTCTTACAACTACAATTACAATTACAACTAATAGCAAACATTTAAATATCCTTAACTCTACTACTATTATTATTTGAAATTTTACCATTAAATTCATAAAACAAATTAGAGTAAAAATAATTACCCAAAAAGGAGTGGGTGTTACTATTTAAAAAAAAAAAAAGTTGTTATGCACATGTATGAAATTACATGGTAAAAAAATAGTTTAATAGTTTAATTAATATGATAAGTGTATACAAAGTTTGTTAGGCACCCAAAAAAACATAATTCAAATATATTTAATATGTGCGGAGTTATAGTGTTTCCAACTATAACGATTACCAATAGGTACTTCTGTGTACAAGATTTTTTTAAATTTTATATTTTCAACAGTTATTGATTATTTTTATTGAATTATAACTATTGTTGCTACAGTTTGATGTACGAAATTGAAAACATTTGCTCAACTTTATGTTTTCGTGGTGTCAAAAATAGGTGAAAATAGAAAACTCGTTAAACCAAACAGTGAAAATTATGGAGGTTACGTGTGTTTTAGCGATGCAACTTTCTGTAAACAGTTCGCTGTTGTTTGCTGCTTGTTTGGTTACTCGCCAAAACGTTTTTTTAACTGTAGAGTAATTTTTAATATAGAAAATACTATACGTCTTCACAATATAAGGTAGTAAAAGTTTTTACATACACAAATCTTCAAAGGTGTAGCGTAGTTGTAGTTATCGAATATATAGAAGTGTACATTGGGTTCGCCTTGAATAGACTGCTAATTAAACGTTTGAGTTGTGCCTTTAGGATTCTGTGTGAAGGAAAGAAACTTATAGTTTCACAAATATGTTTTTTTTTTTTATCTGTGCAGAAGTTATTAACCAGCAATTTCGTTTCAACTTTTAATGATAGCAAAGTTCCCAAAAGGAAATTTCTCTAGAGAGGTACTTTAGAAAAGTCATTTTTTTGATTTTCCGAAGAGTTTTCCCAGAAAATGTGAAAAACCGAAATAAAACATGGGAAACCTGGGAAAATGTAGGAAAATTGCAAAATCGGCACAACATATACAAATTTTAATAAAGAAAATATAAAAAGCATATTTAATTATTTTTTTTTACCATAAAATGGCATATATATTGTTTAGCATCACTATCAACTGAACTCCGCTCAGAATCGTTTTTTCGTAAGCAATGGTTTATCATTGCTTACAGATATACATTAAATTCCCGTCTATATCCTACCTTTCCAACTTCCCACCTACATCAGTTGCTGCACCCGTCCCCATTATCTTACCTTCCTTTTTTATCTATAGCACCAGTGATTATCATTGTAACAGCACACTGGTAGTAGGGAATCACGTAATCGACCGACTGTTGTTGATGACACGGTATTTTGTATGTTATTTGGTATTTTCTTATTTTAACGGCGTTTGTATAAAAGTTTGCCTAACCATATGTAACTAGGGTTGTTACAACTTCTTTCATACCAAATAATAGTGTTCATTTTATTTTTTTATTTTATTTGGCTCACACTTGAATGGTTAATGATTATAGAACCAATAAAGAGTATATACTAATTCAGTGCCACGGTTACGACTCAGAGCTAAGTAATAAACAAAGACCTCGTGCTTCGACCATTGTATATTACACGTGACGGCCAACTTCTATTTAACCTGTGTAATTTTACAACAAATAGTCCGACCTCTATATAGCTTAAATTAATGGACTAATTGTTTTGAAATTTACACGAGTAATCAATATGTTAGGTGAAATAACTAATGAAATACAAATGTTATCCAAGTGATTTGACATCTACACCAATTTCACATGAACGTGGACATTTTTGTACCACATATTGTGATTAAAGTTTACATGTTATGTGTAGAAATATGGTGGTTATAAGTTTATTTAAATATTTATTATAATAATATTTGTTAAGTTTTTTTGTATTCTTGAAAAATTATAAAAATGTAGAAACGTGATATTGTCATTAGTTATGCAGTAAGACTCAACTATCTAGAAAAAAGAAACGATAATGTTATCAAACATAGCATAAAGTGATTTAAATATAGGTTTAGGTTTGATAGACATAAGAAAAACAGAAAACAGAATATACTTTACTCATTTTATTTCAATTAAAATATATTTTTCACGAGACTCATTATTATTTAATACTATTATAATTAATTTGTAGGTAAACTGCTGTTGTTTTAACGGCCTTATTGCGTACCCTTATTTTCTCGCATAAACATCTTTTTAATTAGATTAAACGCTATAATTCACGTTTTAATTACAGTTATTTTGCTATGTTGTAAGTATGCGTGTAGGTATATTACGTTGATTTATTTGACTGTAGGTATTTAGATATTTTGACTAGCTTTATTATACAGCTATACTAAATAATACAAAGCACGGCGGCGACAACCACGGCGCATTTCGTACAATTGTACGGTGGCGGCGTATGATCCGAAAAATTTGTTTCCAAACAAGTAATTAGGGGTTCCGATAATGTTTAGCGTTTAGCGTGTGCGCGAGCTAGTGAACTTTTATGTTGAATAGATCCTATTAAAATTCACAGAATTGATGGCAAAGAGCGTCAAACCTAATATCTACGAAAATAAATAATACATTTAATTCAAGATGAGGTAATAATAATTATGGTTACGTTACGTGATATTCGATGACCATAGCTAGCAAAACGAAATATTATATTTATAGGCATAGCTAGTACCTAATATAAAAAAATGTATAATAAAATAATTTTACATGTAGGTATGTTTAGCATTTTTTCATTTATAATTTATAATATATAACCTGAAGTTAATTTATACCATTATATAAGACAATATATCAGTTAATAATTTGTATAAAATGTAAATATATCACCATATAGGTTTGTAAATTTGATATTAATTATCAAATTGAATAATTAACTATAGAAATAATTAAATAAAAACAAAAAAATAAACAACGAAATTTACACTTTAAATTAAATTATGCTGCTTATATGACTAAATGCAAAAAAAATGATAAAATTTGAATCAAACAAATTATTTCAGTTATCACAAACGTATTATCATTTATCACATCCATATAATATATTATACTATACGCGATACAATAATTTTGTTTTTAATTAGTGGCTAGCCTGCTAGATATGGATTGTATGGGGCAGAGATCATGATGACTCATACCATGGAGTGATTTGTAATTATGAGCATTGATGAGGTTACAGTTTAGCTGTGTTTCTGTCGTTTCTATTTAATTTTAAGTTATTCAAATTCAAGTGTTTTGGTGATATTTTACGCACATTAAATCAATTTCTTCATTATTGCTAAGACTATTACGAGTAAAACGTTTGTTTTATTTAAACATGAATTTCTCTAAAGACTATACACACCTTGATGAAATGGGAAGAAGTTGTAAAGCTATTTTGGTAGGTAATCTTCACCCAAAAGTGTCCTTCAGTAATATAGTCGAACTATTTTATCAGGTAAAAACAAAATATTTCTGAGGATCATAATAATATTTGTAATTCAGTTTTTTATTTATGTAATATTGGTTGTTATAAAGGTGGGGCCAATTGAATTTGTTGAATTTCCATTTTATGACAGTGGATTATGTAAAACATTTGCTTGTGTGGTATTCAAACATTTGAGTTCTGTGGAAGATAGTATTAAATTATTTTGCAATACAAAATTATATGGAACACCCATCATAACAGTAAATTACTCCGAACATTGTAAAGATATTGCATCACATAAGAAACCCGAATATTTAAAGCAACTTAGCAGCATAAATAGAAGGAGACGGAATAACCGAAATTTTGTTAAAAGGAATAATCCACAAACTTTGCCTGAATTTCCTACTCAAAATTGTAACTCAAGTTATAAAAATGAACATAATTTCATTAATAAAATATATCACAGACGTAGAGGTTATCGAAAATTAAACTATAACAGAAAACTTGACTCAATGAAAATATTTACCAACCATCAGGATTTGGATCGTCATCAAAATAATGATAGAAATTTATGTCGCAATCAAAATTATGAACATACACATCGAGATTCTAATAAAAATCAAGATAAATGGCCAGTCAGCGATCTAAGACATACTTTAAATCACCATAAGAATAGGCCATCAGAAAGAAATCTCAAAAACAATAACACTAGTGATGATTTCTCCAATAAGATATCACGAAAAAATTATTAAAATTCAGAGCGCTATATTAAATCAACTACAAGGTATAAAAATTATAATTATGATCGACATTTTAGCAAAGATAAATCTTATGTAAATTTACAAGAATATGAACCTGAATATCAAAATAACCATAATAGAGAGAAAAATACATCTCACAATAATAGGAATAAAAGCATGCAAACTCAAAATAAGAAATCAAATAGTAATCAGTAAAATACGTTTCATCCATACAAACAAAAAAATAAATACAATAAGCAAAAAATTTAAATTTGTATGTTCCAGATTAATTAATTATTGATTTTGTAATGAATTAATTCAGCTATATTGTACAATATAATATTATGAAATTTATGTATAATGACAAAGTAAGTGATCAATGCATAAAAAATTCCTATAAAAAAAAATTATAAAATTAAATTAAATAAGTATTAATTTGCTATTATAACTAAAACTTTTTTTTTTTTTATTGATTTATTAAAATTTAAAAAAAGTATAATATAATACTATGTACGTAAAAAATATTCAATGGTGGATAATTTAGGAATAACTAATGCTCTAATTAGTTGTATTAAACTAAGAAAGCATTAATGTATCTTAATCCCACAGTAACAGTAACTACATTTTACAATCTCATTGTCTTTCTACTATTTGTAAACAAATAATCTATTCAAACTTTTAATGTTTAATTAAATCAAATCTTTTAAAAAAAAAATGTACACTCCTTAACTGAAATTGTGTACTTATTAAATAACAGATATTTAACAAATTTAATGTATTCAATAATTTAAAATCTAATATATAAGTAAGTAGGTTAGTTTTAAGTATTATATATATATTTTTTTTTAATCATTTTTAATTTATTGTTAAAACCATGTAGTACATTTAAGGTCATTTGGATAGGTTTAACTTAAATTTTACAAAAAGAAATATTATGTTCAAGATAATTTAATTATTGATTTTGTAATGAATTTTTACATATGTATTGTACAATATAATATAATGAAATTTATATCTAATGACAAAGTAGGTGATCAATGCTGAAAAAATTCACAAAAAGAAATTATGATATTAAATTCAATAAGATTTTATTTGCTATTAACACTAACACATTTTTTTTTTATTATTGATTTAGTAAAATTTAAAAATAGTATAATGTAATATTATGTACGCACAAAATATTGTATAATAGATAATTTAGGAATAGATAATGTTCTACTTATTTGTATTAAACTAAGAAAGAATTAATGTATCTTAACCCAACAATAACAGTAAATACATATTATTATCTAATTGGAATTTTGTTTTTTGTAAACAAACAATTTATTTGAATTTTTAATGTTTACTTAAATCAAATAAATAAAAAAATGTATCAATCATAAACTGAAATTTTGTACTTATCAAATAACAGAAATTTAACAAACTTAATGTATTCAATAGTTTAAAATCTAATAGATAAGTAAGTAGGTTAGTTTTAAGTCTTTAATATTTACTGAAAATAAATAAGCTCAGTATCTTTTTTTTCTTAATGTCTAATTAATAAATTTAAGCTAATTAATTGTGTTTATTTATTTTTTTTAAATCATTCTTAATTTATTGTTGAAACCATGTATAATACATTCAAAGTCATTTGGCTTGATTTAACTCGTTGTATGATAAATAATTCCTTGAGCGTGCGAGTATTTATGCATTTTACAATATAGTTTTATTAATTCCAGAAACAACCTTGAATAAAGTTCGTTTGTACAATTATGGATAAAATTAGATTGAAAAAAATATAAAATTGGAACTATATAATACAAAATTATCCATGAAATCATAACTGTTTTTCAACTTGGACATTTTTTAATATTTTGGAAGGCTAATGGTTTATTTTAATTTGTAAACAGAAAAATTGTTGAATTGTTAACCGTCTTTAAAGAATGATGTTCTGAGAAAATAGTTGAAAGGACATGCTAAACTTCAATTATGATTCTATCCAATCCTGTAAAGTACTTAAGTAAAAGTGTTTGAGTAAAAGTATTCAGATAATTTTTGTATACTTAAATACGTATTTAATTACACTTGAAAAAAGTACTTTGGTACGGTATTTGTTTACTTTTTTGAAAAAATTTATATTTAAAACTAAATGCTATTTTTAAATACTTATTTAGTCTTATTTGATGTACAAAAACGCAAATTTAAATAAAACAATACAAATTAATTTAAAATTTCATTTTCATTTATAGATTTTTGTTTTTTTGCGTATTAGTATATATTATATTAAAATCAGAAATTCCGTTACATGAATTTTATTTTTGTACAAAAATAAAAAATCTGAGTGTTTGAAAGTATATATAAATACTTTAGAAGATTATTAATACTTGTACTTGAATATATTTTTGGTCCAACTTTTTAATATGTATTTTAATAACTTTTAAAATAAGTATCTGTATCTGTACTTGAATACTTTTTAAAATTATATTTTACAAGAATGATTCTAACAGAATTTTAAACAAAAAAATATTAAATAACTATAAATTACAATATTTAATATATACATTAAGGTAAACAAAAAAAAAAATCGACTGTACTCACTGCAATAACAGTTTACATTGTCACTGCAATATAAATTTAATATAATAATAACGTTCTGTGTGACCATATACTAATAACTTAAATTACATCTATAATATTAAATCACAAAATATCTATAAACCTAATGTCCTAATATTTATCAATTGATTCAGTTTGATAGTAAATATCTAATTGACTAATCAATAGGCTGATATCTCTCATAATTTGTGTCATTATGTTATTATTACACACCTGTTTGTCATTGCCATTTTAAAATTGAATATAATAACATTGACCTTCAGATGATTTTGAGATATTGAAGTTTTTAAAGTGAATTTACATTTTTATATTAGTTATTAATTATTTACTGATTAATATATTATGTTATACAAATGTGTAAATTAGTTTAAAGTTATATGATCCAAATTGCAAAAAAAAATATATTACATACCTACATGGAAAATTAATTTATACATGTTTTTAAAAAATATATTAGTATTTAATCAAGTTTCATTTGATTTTTTTTCAATGTGATATTTTTTACTAGTTTTTTTTTTCCTTAACTCATTAGTAATATATGTAACTTATAAGCTATAAACCTAACTAAATTTCAGGTACAGTAAGAATATAAATTGGGTTTAACTAAACCTATTTTACATAACTAAGGTAGTCAAAATGTAAAAATAAATGGTAATAGTAGTAATTTATAAGTATAGTAGATAAATGGTGTAATTTAGTTATAGTGGTAGTTGAGTAGTGAATAAGTATAGTAGTTATTAATGTACTATTTGTAGAGCTTGAACCTGTAGGTACTAGGCAGGTTTAGAGTAATAAATTTAAAGTAGTAGTTTTTATAAGTGCAGTAGTATGAGGTGTAGATGAGAAATATTTGGAGTTTAGTAGTGTGGAAGTGTGTAATTTAAATTAAGTAATAATTTAGAAATTGAGATTTCTTATAATAGTTATAGAAGATGTACCGTATAAAAATCCATGCCAAGACTGATTAAACTTAGGGTATTCCAGTTGAAAGATATTTTACAACCAATTGTTCGGAAATAAAAATAATCTTGTTTATCTATTACAGTATAAAGAAGAATTTGGGATATTTAATCACCTAAGATATTTCAGAAACCATTCCAATGTGAAATCAAAATGTTACAGTACCAGTTGCTTTTTATATATGTAGTAGTATAGTCGAGTTATAGTAGTAGTTTAATATTGTAATAATGTATCGTTCAATTGAAAACGATATTCAGCAGTTTTGTTGTAGTCAATAACGTGGTCGATAACAAACAGAGCATAGGCAGAGAGATTTTTGAAATTTGATACAGGATTCACGGTGTATACTACGCATTAAAAATATTCTCATACGCTGGACGATCAGATTCTTTGTGTTTCACTATAATTTCTATGACTTATTTACTGTGATTTTTATTTTCGATTACGTAAGTCATATATTTTGTGTTGCTTGAATGTGGTTCCGTCAATATATAACCAGCGCAGGCAGTAGACACATCGAATTATTACCCTTAAACCTTCATCATACGACAATAAAAACTAAGATAAAATTAACCTAAATTCTTTAACTGCTATTCCGTTTTCCCTACTAGTATTATTGATATACATTTTATCTACATAATCAGTTAGATATATTGGGATATTTCTCTCAGATACTCTCAAATCAATTGACCGCAGGTGTTGATTTTTACTCTAAATACTATTGTTGGCCACATTATGTATTATAATTTCATACTTGTAAATATTTGCCAAAACCCTATTTGTAAGTACAATACATTTAATTTCAGGATTAGAATAGAGGGTCACAGTTTCATCATCTATTTTATAAAATAATTTACATTGTAAAATACTATTAATTTTTTATTTTGTTTGATTAGTCCAAATTTTACTATTGGCAATTTAAGCAGATGCCCATTTTGACTGTGATTCACAAGGTGGTTGTTTCATGTGTGTGCTGCATTTTTTTATTCACATAGTCTTGAAAATTGTACATACATATTTAGGTATAATAGTAATATAATTTAATTATTTAGTGTAAACATAATATATACTTATATAATATTTAGTCAATTGAATATTGCTTTTGAGAAATTTAAACGAAAAAACATGAATTCTGTGCATTGAAATACGTAGAGCAAGTATATATTAAAATAAATGAGAGCAAGTTTTAGGTACTTGCTCCGGTGTACTTATAAAATATTGAGTATGGCTTAACAACGAGGATAAATGTTATTGTAATCAGTAAAAATTGCAAAATAATTAAACAGTTATATTACATATACCTTTGTTTGCACTATATGATTTGAATAAGATAAATAGAAAAATTTAAATGTTGGTACAATTTTTTTAACAATTATTTTAAATACCAATTAATATTTTGAAATACAATAAATAATAAGTATTTAAACAACCGTATTTTTTATCTAACAATACTGTTAGTTTAATAGTATATTTATCTACGGGACTAATCTATTATATTAAAAATGTTCATGAAAAAGTTTAAATTAGATAAATTGTTTATTCAAGTTACAAAAACAATAATATTGTGTTTTAGTTAAATACAATTAAAATCGTAATTTATATCTTTTTTATTAAAAAAAATTCAATCGTCTATTACTAGGAAACATTGATTGTTTTTATAAATATATAATGTTCAATTTCTGTAAGCATCAGACATACTTTAATGTACTTGACCCAAATTTTTCGTTACGAACAAACAAATTCAAAGTTACAAAAACAAATAATATTTTGTTTTAGTTTAATAATAATAATTTATAATTTTTTTATTAACAAAATATTCGTTTAAATAATACAATGGTCTATAACTAGAATATATTGATTTAATTTATAAATAGTAAGTAGATATTTTATTGCAAATATATCCAGGCTGTTCTCCTCGTATAGTTGTAAACGAACACATATCACAAATTTACTTCTGATTCGAATGGCACTGGTGGATTGTTCAGTGATTTGTAATCTACAAATAAAACAAAAAGCCTTGGTGAATTCAAATTCTATTATTACAATTTACCATAAAAAGACAATATGTAATCAAACCCATACAAATAAATGCGAGAAGAACCACGAGTGTTTGACTTATGCAGTCATTTCCTCAATTAAAACTCTTTATGTTAGCACTAAATAAATGTCCATATATATATAAACAATGTTTACGTATATATATATATATGGCTGCATCCGAATTGGTTCCCATACTTGAAAATTGACATCCGCATTGGTTCCTGACATTTCAGGCAACACCCATCCGAATTGGTTCCCGGTATTCTAGGTAGGCAACACCCGTCCGAATCGGTTCCCGATAAACACTTTCGAAAAAGGCGAAATACAATCTAATAATATTATCATAACATATTTCCCATCTTTATAAATACGGATGTATAAAATGAAATAAATTGTCATTAAGATAAAAACCGTCATAAAACCGGCGATATATTATCGATATTCAGTAATCCACCTTAATAACTGCAGAGTGTACGTATAGTGATTTTGTACAGTTTAGTATTTTTAACTTTTGTTCAAATATGGAATTTATGTACAGTGAAAAAAATAAAAAACTTATACTATTAGAAGGATATAAATTTGGGTTTCAAAAAAAGTTGGCAGACGACATTGACTGTTGGATATGTGTAAAAAGAACATGTAAGTCATATTTGAAAATAAATAATTTAAATATAATTGTTGATAAAAGTATAATACATAACCATGAAAAAGACGATGAAAAAAAACTTAACATACAGAAATTAAGCAACATTTCAAAACGAGAAGCTCAAGAAGCATTACATGAGCGGCCAGCAAAAATTATTCACTGTGAGTTGGCTAAATCTGATATTGAAACCATAGACGCTCAAGATTTATATAGAATAAGAAAAAATATACATACTAGTCGATGTAGCACAGTACCAAAGTTGCCCAAAAAATTGAGTGAGATTTATAATATATTAAATAATTATATAATTTAATAACTAATTGGGGAGAAAACTTTGTATTTATTAACAACGCTGAAACCAAAATTATTGGATTTTCATGTGATAGCAATTTAGAAATGTTACGTAAAATAAAATGTGTGTTTATTGACGGTATTTTTAAAAGTTGTCCAAAGCTCTTTTGCCAAATTTGTTCAATTCACGGTGTAAAAAATAACTACTATGTATCTCTAGTTTTCTTTTTACTTCCAAATAAAAAAGTGATACGTATACAAAAGCTTTTCGTTTAATTACAAATTATTTAAACCCGGATAAAATATATGCTGACTTTGAAAGAGCCATTCATGTAGCGATCTCTGAAGTATGGCCTTTAGCTCAATTAAAAGGTTATTGGTTTCACTTGGGCCAATTATGGTGGTAGAAGATTCAACAATTAGAGCTTTCAAAAGAAATTAAAAATAACGATTCTAAAATGGAACGAACATTAAAATTATTTCTCGGCTTATCCTTATTATCGCCCGAAGAAGTTAACGATTGCTATATTAATGAGCTGATGCCATTAAAACCGATTAATGGAAAGCTCGACGAATTCTTTGATTACATACTAGAAAATTATATTTTAGAAGATAGCTCATTTCCACCAAAAATGTGTGCTGAATATACGAGTAGTATAGAACGAACAACCAATTGCTGTGAATCATTTCACAGCAAGTTCAACAGTTGCTTCTATTACACAAACCCTAACATTATTCAAATCATTAATGTATTAAAAACAGTCCAAATTGAAATATGTATAAAATTGCGGAGTATAGAGAAACCACAAAATCTTAAATCTAAAAATAAGGAAATATTTATAAAAACAGAAATAGGAAAGTATAAAATTAATATAATAAATAGATTAGAGTTTAGAAAAAATGTTTGTTGTACATTTATAGTTAAAAATATATTTTAATAAAAAAAAAATTATTATTATTCTTAGAACTTATTATATAACGTAACAAAAAACTTTAAATATAAAAGAGTCAAAAAAATCATAATTTTTAACCATACTTGCTCAATATTATGTGGGCAGTCCTAAGTCTGTATAAAATGTGAAGGAAAATTTGACCCAGGAATCAATTCGGACGTTTCTGTACCAATTCGGATACACTGATATGTATATATAATAGCAGTTACAAAAACTATTATTACCTTAATGACATTTCTATTGGTTCTGTAATTTATTTTTGTATCTGTCCTTTGTTCTGCATTTTTTGTTTCCCTTATATTTGATTTTGACGATGCTGCGGCTTAAGGTTGTGGTGCCATGATTTCAACCTAAAATTTTTAATTTTTCGGAAGTGTAAACAAATTATTTAAAAGTTAATTATCCAAATAATATTTTATTATATAGAACAATTATCTAATATTTACTAATTAGTATTAATAATAAACCTGGATTTAGCAATGGACACCCAGCATTTGACTGCCATAAACATTATTATTAATTTCTATTTTTCTCTGTGGATACTTGGTAGTTTAGTCAAAGAACATTGTTTGCCCGCCAATCATACAATTCTATATTTTTATCTAAACATAAAATATAATATCGTTAACAATCAAACATTATTTTTAGAAAGTTATATTCATGTAACAATATGGATATATACCCGTATACAGTATTCCGGTCAGAAGAAGAGTTTAGATTAAAATATGTAGACACAGTCGGACAATTTTACATATGAAATACTACGATATTACTATGTTTGATGGTAGCCGGAACGATTTTATTTTTAAAATAAATATATTGATTTAATACAAGCTGAGGCAATAAAAAATATAGTTACGTTACCTGAAATTCGATGACCATAGATAGTGACAGATATCATTTTCAACGATATTGAGCAATTTTGTTGTAGTCAATAACGTGGTCGATTGTGAACAGAGCATAGGAAAGGAGATCTTTAAAATTTGAAATTTGTTACACGATTCACGGTGTATACTACGCATTTAAAATATTCTCATACGCTGGACGACCAGATTCGTTGTGTTTCACTATATTTTCTATGACTAATTTACCGTGATTTTTATTTTCCATTATGTAAGTCATATTCATTGTGTTTCTTGGATGTGGTTCCATCAATATATAACCAGCGCAGGCAGTAGACACACCGAATTATTAACCTTAAACCTTCATCATACGACAACGAAAACTAAGATAAAATGGACCTAAATTCTTTAACTGCTATTACGTTTTCACTACTAGTATTATTGAAAAACATTTTATTTACATAACCAGTAAGACATATTGAGATATTTTTCTCAAATATTCCCAAATCATTTGACCACAGGTTTTGATTTCTACTCTAAATACTATTGTTGGCTACATTATGTCTTATAACTTCATATTTTTCTATGTAAATATTCGCCAAAATCATATTTGTAAGTACAATACATTCAAATTCAGCATTAGTAGAGACAGTCACAATTTGATCTTTTATTTTTTAACATAATTTACATTGTAAAATACTTTAATATTTTATTTTGTTCCAATTGCCAGATTTTACTGTTGGCAATTCACAAGGTTATTCGTGCCATGAGTTCTCCCATTGTTCTTTCACAAAGCCTTGAAAATTGTATATACAAATTTAAGTCTTATAATAATAAAATACCCTCAGAGGAAGGGTCTGATCGATATGAGACCCTAGGGGTCTAGCGCACCCGGGGCCCCAAGCTTCACTGGCGGAAACCCTCAGGCAGGGGATTTCAGTTGTCTGAACTTCTCCCGGTATAAGGAGACACCTTTACAAAACCTCTGTCCTTCGGGGCGGATAAGCTGCGTAGAGCGGGGCAATCTCTTGCCCCCAAGGTAGAAAACTACCTTGAAAGGCGGATGAAACCACATCATATGGTCAACGGCTTGAGGATGCAGAAGGCCAGAAGGATACCACTGCATTAAAGATCCTTTTGGATTTCCCTAACCAAAGTAACCAAACATGCTCTGTTATAACCAAAGAAACACCTACACGACAGATCATGGAATTCGGAAACCAAGATCCGGCAGGGGAGGAAACAAGGCCTCTTCGGTCGTCATCGAGCGAAATCCTCATTCATCGTTCCGTATTGGAACATGGAACATTAGAACAGCACTAAAAGCAGGAAAGATAGAAGAGATCAAAGAACAAATCAAAAATAATTATATTGGTATACTTGGTATCTGTGAAACTCGATGGAGTGGAAAAGGAGATTATATCACGGAGGATTTTAGAGTAATCCACAGTGGTAATGACAAGAGTGGCAAAAACGGAATAGCTATAATAGTTCAAGGGAAATGGAAAAGCAACATAATGAATACATACCACCTTAATGATAGACTACTGATAGTTAAAATCCATGCTCAGCCTACGGACATCTACATAATCCAAGTATATTTCCCAACATCAAATTGCCAGGATGTTGAAATTGAAAGAATGTACGAATAAATCGAAGACCTCATGAAGTTGACTGATGATAAAGCGAACGTAATAATTATTGGAGATTTTAACGCCTCTGTTGGAGAACAAGATATCTCAACAAACTGTCTAGGAAAATTCGGTTTTGGGAAACAAAACGAAAGAGGTACAAGACTCGTACAATTTTGTGAACAACTTGAACTGACAATCTCAAATACTTTCTTTCAGGTGCCAAAACGACGAAGATACACTTGGAAAGCACCATGAGATACCAGAAGAGCTCAAATAGATTTCATACTAGTAAAACAGAAATACAGAAATCAAGTTAAGTCCAGTCACTCATATCCAAGCTGCGATATAGACAGCGACCATAATTTAATACTAGCTAAGTGCAACATCATCTTCAAGAAAGGGGCGAAACGACTCATTAAAAAATGGTGTTTAGATAAACTGAAGAATAGCACTACAGTTAACACCTTCAGAAGAGAACTTGAAAATAAAGAGACAAATTCTTGGGATGAGCTAAAGTCAGTTATTCAAGAAACCTCTGACAGGGTGCTTGGGAAAAATACCCTCGAACGATGAAAACCCTGGATGACACAGGATATACTAGACTTCATCAAAGAAAGAAACATAGACTATGACAAATACAAGTTTTTGAAAAATAAAATAACACAAAAGTGCAGACAAGCGAAGGAAAAATGGATGGAAGAGTATAGCGAAGATATTGAAATTATGATGAAAAGAAACAACAACGGAGTATACGCTAAAGTAAAAAAATTGCAATACACTCCAAAAACTAGAAGCAATATTGTTAAAAACAAAGCAGACAGATGGAAAGAATACCTCGAGGATCTATACATAGGAGAAGACATTAATAATAGAGAAGAAGAATATATAGAGAATGAACAAAATTTGAATCCAGCTATGAGAGGTCCAGAAATTCCTTTTCTAGGAAAAATTCATATGCTTGGGTTGCTAAAGCAAAATATTTATCTCCCCCTGTAAATTCATAGGGTCTTATAGAGATCGTCACCCAACACTTTCCCACTGCTTTAGGTATGACTATTTGTGGCAAAGATCCAAAAACCACTAATGAACTTATCACTGTCCTAACCGAAATATCATAATTGGAAAAATAGTTATAATATTATGATTATTTTATTACCCTGTGTTATAATTATTATCGACTATTTGGTTACTCGTTATTATAAGTTTTCACACGTTTCAGGAGAATTTAAAACGGCTGTTACTTAGAGATTGTCTATAAGATATGAATGTGTGATACATTTTTTAACATTTTTTTGTGTTTTGGTGATGAAAATACAATTTGAATTTTTCTTCAATGCGATGTCCCCCTCGAAGACAAACAGGTTGAAACAAAAATTTGACAGAGTTATTAGCATAATGATAACACTATAGGCCACTCTGTTTATTTATTCCAATTACTCAGTTATCCACGTCTAATTTTTTTAATATAAAAATATAATAATCTCATAATTATACTTGAAGTTGCAGGAAATTATGCCGACGATAGGTACATCTATTGTGTTATNAACACATGAAGTTATCATAGCTCTGAGACAAGTTCCGGAAAAGAGAATTGACGTGAGCAAAGCAACGTTTATAGCATTTGTAGACCTGAAAAAAGCGTTCGACAAAATAGACAGGAAACTTTTATTTAACACTTTAAGGGAAGCCGGAATTAATTGGAAAGACAGGCACTTAATATTGAACTTGTATAAAGGTCAAACCACTGAAATAGATGTAAATGGAAGCAAGAGACAAGCGAAAATTCGTCAAGGAGTAAGGCAAGGTTGCCCTCTGTCTCCATACTTGTTTAATTTGTTTATTGAACTTGTAATAGATGAAATGAAAGAACACACTACAGGAATATCGATAAATGGGAAACAGTTTCACTACATCCGCTTTGCAGATGATATAGCTCTCCTAGCTGACAGCGTGGGAGAAATGAGTTTGATGCTTCATATACTTGAAACATCTCTAGATAAGTTCAAACTAAAAATTAACTCCAAAAAAACAAAAGTTATGGTTATAAGTAAAGTTATAACAAATACTAACATAACGCTTAATAATGAACAATTACAACAAGTAAACGAATTCTGCTACTTAGGTAGCTTGATAACTGATGTCAACAAATCTATGGAGGAAATAAGAAGACGAATTGTAATTCGCAAAACACGCTTTTGAGAAAAAAGGACACTTCTTGCTAATGAACATCTAAGTATAAGATCAAGAAAGAAATTCGTAAAAACATACATTTAGAGTATATAACTATATGGTTGTGAATCTTAGACAATAGGAAAGTATGAAAAAGATAGACTAAAGGCTATGGAAATGTGGATNTGGAGGAAAATGACTAGAACAAGCTGGATAGAACATAAGACGAATGAAGAAGTGCTAAACGAGATCAATGATGAAAGAACAATAATGAACACAATAATGAAAAGAACAATAAAGCTAATTGGACATCTACTTAGAAATAATGAGTTTATTACTATCATTATGGCAGGAAAAATAGAGGGAAAAAGATCCAGAGGAATCCTATCCTAGAGGAATACTTCTTTGAAGAAATCTTCAGACGAATGGGTGTTTCCTCTTACCAAAATCTCAAGAGGACAGCATCTGACAGACATGTATAGCTACAACAACAAGGCTTGGCCTTTAGAAGCTGATGATGAATAATAAAATTGAATTATCTAGTGTAAACATAATATAAATTTATGTAGTAATACGCCTTCCAATAAATGGTTCCATTGAATATTGCTTTTGAGAAATGTAAACGAAAAACATGGAATTTGTGCATTGAAATACGTAGAGCTAGTATATATTAAAATAAAAGAGAGCAAGTTTTAGGTACTTGCTCTGGTGTATTAAAAAATATTGATTATAGTTTAACAACGAGGATAAATGTTATTGCAATCAGTAAGTATTGCAAAATAATTAAACAGTTATATTACATATACTTTTGTATATTTTGAATTTAAATGTTGGTAGAATATTTTTTAAGAAATAATTTAAATACCAATCAATATTTCGAAATAAAATTGAAAATAAGTATTTAAACAACCGTATTTTTTATTTAACAAGACTGTAAAATAAATAGTATATTTATCTACGGGACAAATCTCTAATATTAAATAAAAAAGTTTAAATTTGATTAATTGTTTATTCAAAGTTACAAAAACAATAAAATTGTGTTTTAGTTAAATAAAATTAAAATCGTAATTTATATCTTTTTTATTAGAAAAAATTCAATCGTCTATTACTAGGACAAATTGATTGATTATATAAATATATAATGTTCAATTTCTGTAAATACCAGACATATTTTAATGCACATGACCCAATTTTTTCGTTTCAATATATCAAATACAATATTCAATGGAACCTAAACTATTAAACTTAATATAATTACATACATTTATAGCACGATTTTAGCACTCTATAGTTAAATTATAAAATTATTGAACTTAAATTTGTATAAACAGTTTTCGAGGCTTTGTGAATGATCAATGGAAGCATACACGACACATGATTTAAAAAATACGGAATTGAGCTCAAAAGAAATTAAACAAGCTTGAAAGAAATCACCTTGTGAATCACAATCAAAACGGTTCTCTGCTTAATTTACCAATAGTAAAATCTTGACTTATCGAAAAAAATAAAAATATTAATAGTACTTTACAATGTAAATTATGTTAAAAAATAAAAGACCAAATTGTGACCATCTGTACGTAAAGTTGTATACTTGAGTTTTAATAGCATCTTAACATTGTAATATTGTAAGTCTTGTTTAGTAGTTATAGTTTTATAAATAGGTATATCTGTTTACTGTTGAATATTTTACTGCGCAGTTAACGTCCAATGTATAAAATGTGGATTGTAAATTGATATTCTACAGCTAATATATCCGGGTTGTTCTCCTCTGAACAATCTTTTCGTATACTCGTAAACCGACACACATCACAACTTTACTTCTGAATCCATCGGCGCTGGTGGATTGTTCAGTGATTTATAATCTACAATTAAATCAAAAAGCCTTAGTGCACATTCACATTATAATATTACAATTTACTATAAAAAAACAATGTGTAATCAAACCCAAAAATTTAAATATGAAAAGAACTACAAGTGTTTGACGTATGCAGTCACTTCCTCAATTAAAACTCTTTAAGTCAGCACTAACAAAATGCCCATACATATTAGAAAATTTTTCATACATATATTTTTATATAATTGCAGTAACAAAAACTATTATTACCTTAATGACATTTCTATTGGTTCTGTAATTTATTTTTGTATCTGTCCTTTGTTCTGCATTTGTTGTTTTCCTTATATTTGATTTTGACGATGCTGTGGCTTAAGGTTGTGGTGCCATGATTTCAACCTAAAATTTTTAATTTTTCGGAAGTGTAAACAAATTATTTAAAAGTTAATTATCCAAATAATATTTTATTA